GCAGGAGAAACACACTAAAATCATCATTAACACCACCATTTGCATTCTTATCAGAAAAACCAAGAAGGATTAGAAATCTAGAAGAGTTGTACGATGTCACTTAAGTCATGAAAGATACAACTCTATTTTATTTCTTTATAGATAGTGACCCACTTAGCTTTAATGAAGCTATCACATAAAAGAAATGGATAGAAGTAATAGATGAAGAAATGCATGCCATTGAAAAGAATAACACCTGGAAGTTAACTAATCTACCAAAAAAATAAGAAAGCAATTGGTATCAAATAGGTCTCTAAGACAAAGAAGAATGCAAAAGGTGAAGTATAAAGATACAAAGCAAGATTAGTGGAAAAAGGTTACAAACAGAGAGAAGGCATTGACTATGAAGAAGTATTTGCTCCAGTAGCCCTACTAGAGACAATCGGACTGATGTTCTCACTAGTTGTACAATATAGATGGAAGATCTATCAACTTGATGTGAAGTTAGCATTTCTGAATGGCTTCCTAGAAGAAGAGATCTATGTTAAACAACCACTTAGATACATTGAAGTTGGAAATGAAGGCAAAGTATACAAGTTGAAGAAAGCCCTCTAAGATTTGAAGTAAGCTCTGCGTGTTTGGAATACCAAAATTAACGAGTATTTTCAAGATAATGGATTTTAAAAAATATACATATGAACACACAATATATGTGAAGAAAGAAGCAGATGACAGCATTTTATTTGTGTGCCTATATGTTGATGACTTGATATTCACCGACAACAATCCTATCATGTTTCAAGACTTTAAGAAAAGCATGGTACAAGAGTTTGAGATGACAAACATTAGTCTAATGGCATATTTTCTTGGCTTCAGAGTAACGCAGAAAGAAGAAGGGATTTTTGTATCCTAAAGCGGTTACGCTAAAGATATTATTGAAAGGTTCAAGATGGAAAGCAGCAATTCGGTATCAACTCCAGTTAAGAATAGAATAGAATTGAGGAAAAGTAAAGTTGGAAATGTTGATCCAACTTACTTCAAAAGCTTAGTAGAAAGCTTAAGGTACTTGGCATGTACTAGACCAAATATATTCTACAGAGTCGGACTCATTAGCAGATATATGGAGACACTAGACTAGTCTCACTTGAATACAGACAAGAGAATTTTTTGCTACATCTAAGGAGCAATAAATGAAGGTATATTTTATACCTCAAGTGAAAACTTCAATCTTATTGGTTACTCGTATAGTGATTGGAGTAGAGATTTGGATTAAAGGAAAAGCACAATTAGATTTATTTTTTTCATGGGAGATATATTTTTTACATGGTTATCTAAGAAGCAATCGATAGTAATGTTATCAAGTTGTAAAGCTAAATATGTTATTGTCAATTCAGCTATATGTCATCTAATATGGTTAAAGAATATGCTGAAGTTTTTGGGATTTCCTCAAGAAAGTCCAACAAAGATTTATATTAATAATCGATCAGCGATTGCATTAGTCAAGAATCTAATGTATCATGAAAGAAATAAACACATCGATACACGTCATCATTTTATCCGAGAGCATGTGAAGAATAAAGAAGTTGAACTGATATCTTGCAAAACAAATGATCAAGTTGCAGATATCTTTACAAAGCCATTGAAGGGAGAAATATTTATCAGACTAAAATTCATGTTTGGTATGACATCCCTCGAATGAATTTAAAGGAGGGATTTCTTGTGATAAACTCAATCAACTACCAACCACCACCTATAGCCACCTATTATCAACCACCACTACCTGCTGACTTTCAATTTATGTATAAATAGACTGTTAAGTTTATATTATTAAGTGTGATAAAGAGTAGAAAAAAACATAAAAAAGAAAGAAAGAATGTATATTAAAATTGTAAGTTTTGTATTTTTATAAGCTTTTATTTTTATAATAAAACCATATATTTTATCTCCTCTAAATATTCTAAAACCAGTGGTTTCTCCCTTGACTAGTGGGATTCTAATGGAAGATTTTGAACATTCCAGTTTCGGTACTCGAATTAGAAACAGAAGTAGTCTTCCATCTATCAGCACTGTGACTCATCACGTCATACAAGGGACCTTTTTTATAAGCATTCTAAAAATATTGGAATGATTTTTCGTTTCCCTGATTTTTCAAGGTAGCAGTTATGATGGGAGATGCAGAATCCATTCCATAAAGCTCCAACCACTTGAACTGCGTAATAGTTGGCCACTGGAATTATACGATGGCATGCTCTGTTGATCTGCCTCAGGGCCTGGAACACCCTTCGTATTTGATCCTAACACCAGAAGAATGGGTAGCTTTTTCATGAAGATGACAGCCTTCAACAGCTTCTTTTTTCATTGTTTAGATCTCCAGCTCAGGTGCAAAGTCTAGCCTTCAAGCTGTTGCTTCTACTTCTTCACCTTGTGATTTTGGCAGAAGTTAAATACATATAAAGAACACGAAAAATTTTATGAGTAAAAAGGTTGCTGATGTTAATCTTAAATACACGATTTTATTCTCTTTAAAATAATAATATCAAAATTTATTTTTTTAGAAGGTTTATAAAGTTTTAAATAGATTAGAAATTTTTATTTTTAATAAAAATTAAAATTAAAAATTAAAAAGGAAAGAAGCATAAAATAAAAACAAATGCAAGAAATCTAGAAATAACAAAAAAAATAACAAAAGCTATCAAAATCAGAAACTTAAATGAAATTTTTAATATTTAAAGATATGATGGTTCATGTAGTTATGTAGTAGATTTTATTAAAAAAATAATCTCTAAAAACTTCTATAAAAATTTAAATATGATTTAATGATCTGATTAAACATTATAATTTTTTTAAATTATTATTTTAATCTAGCATAACAAGATCTTCTATTGAATTTAAATATATTTTATTGGTCTATAACTATATCTATTAGATCATTCATATAATTTATTTAAGATAAATTTTTATTTAACTATAATAAATTGACACTTAACTACACAGAATTACCTCGAATACTTTATCTTGTAACATTTATAAAATAATAGCTATTGTGTTTAATGAATATAAATCATATATGTTAATAATAAATATAATTTAAAAATATTAATATCATTGTTAATAAAAATAGTAATAATAATTATTAATATTATTGTTATTGAAAATATTAATAAAAATGAGTTTTTGATACTTAAATGGTTTGATTAATTATAAACTATATATATTAATGATAAATATAATTTTAAAAAATTAATGTTATTGTTAATGAAAATAGTAATAATAATTTTTAATAATATTATTAATATCATTATTATTGAAAATATTAATAAAAATAAATTTTTTATATTTGAATAGTTTGATTAATTAAATTGAATCAAATTCAATTTGATTCAATCAAGATTAAAATAAAATATGTAGAATGAAATTGAAATATTTCAATTAAAATTTAACTAAAAAATTTAGAATAAATTGAAATTTAAAATGAAATAAAAAAAATATTATATTTCATTTTATTTTTTAAATTAATATGAAATATTTAGATCACTCCAAACAAAATAAAAAAAATGAAATGAAATTGACATCCGTAGGTTGAAGAGCTCATGATTCTCTGATATGTTTTTATATTTTTTTAGGATATTTGTCATTCAATGGAGTTTCCACTTTCCAGCAGTGGGTTTGTTGCCATCCCATCAAGCTATGAACACCAAAAAACGTCTTAATAACGTCTTGGAAAAAGTAGGAGGGACGTCTCTTTTCTGAGGGTCATTCTCGTCTGTTCACGAAAAGAAAAGAAACGTGTGCTGTCATAAAATTAACTGCGGCCTCGTCAGCACTCTATAGATTTTTTTTATTATTATTATTTACATTAAATGTACACGAACAGAGTAGTAAAAATAAATTTGGAAATTTCCATTAATGTTTTTCGTTTCAAATTAAAAAAAAAAAAACATTCATAGATTATTAACATTAACAAAAAAAAAAACCTAAAAAACATTGGTGTTTTATACGGTTTGTTACCTTACATTTCATTATTCAGAATATTATTCACTAGATAAATCTTCTTTCTAGCTCACTTAAATTTTGAGTATGTTTTAATTTTATTATTAAAATTATTTTTTTATTTTATTATTCAATTATTCTATTATTTATAAATGATACTAGTAGTGTCTTTTATGGTAATAATAATAATTGTTTTTCAAATAATTGTATATGATTCTTATATGGATAATTTTTTAAAATGTAGATAATATTTTTGGAAAAATGTAAGACAAAAGAAACGCATTTGCAAGGGAAATACGTTTCATCAAAAAGATATTTTTTATTCATTTAAAATTATTTATACTAACAATTATATTTTTTATAGAGAATTTAAATTGTTAATTTTATTACAAAAATCCATCTAAACTTCCATATTATTAAATACTAAATAAACAATTAAAGAACACCCAACATCACATCATCAAATATCCTCATTTATATTTATTTTTCAGCTTTTATATTTGGTTAATATTAATATTTTTATAATTTATTGGTTTATATAATTTTATTTTATTAAACAAATGATTCAACTTTTCAAATTCAATTAAAAGCTTTCATGGTGCTAGAGAATTAGTTAAAACAATTAACATATCATTTGAAAAAGAAAAAAAAACTTATTCTTTAAAAGTATTAAATAAGATTTTTTTTTATTTTTGCTAAAAACGAAATGCATTTAATTACTGAGACATTATTATCGACAGATCATCCCACAGCCAAAAAGCTGAATAAAATGCAGGTCACTTCCTCTCATCTAACATTAGCAGTATACCACTCAACTTTTCCCAGCCTGACAAAAGCATGGAGATATGGTTCCTCATCCTCGTCTCTCTGTCCCTGTCTGCATTCCTTAAAGCCTTCTTCAACCTCTTCTTCCCTTGCAAAACTCACAAACTCCCTCCAGGCCCCCTAGCCTTTCCAATTATTGGCAACATCTTATGGCTTTCCAAATCCTTCGCCGACCTCGAGCCCACCCTTCGTTCCCTCGTCCAAAAACTCGGCCCGATGGTCACCCTCCATATATTCTCTCGCCCGGCTATCTTTATTTCCGATCGCTCCCTAGCTTACCAAGCCTTGATCCTGAACGGTTCTGTTTTTGGTAATCGCCCATCTGCTCTTGCTACTAGCAGAGTGCTTAATAACAATCAGCAGACTATCAGCTCTTCATTTTACGGTCCGACTTGGCGCCTCCTCCGTCGAAACCTCACATCAGAAATCCTCCATTCTTCGCGGGTTAAAACATTTGGTCATGCGCGTAAATGGGTGCTGCAAATCTTGAAGAATCAATTTGACTTGTTGTCCAGGTCTGGAGATCCTGTTCGTGTTGTGGATCATGTTCAGTTTGCCATGTTTTGTCTATTAGTACTCATGTGTTTCGGTGACAAGTTAGAGGAGAAACAGGTTAAGGAGATCGAACGAGTCGAGCGTCGCATGATTGAGAATATGCGTAGATTCAATATACTTAATTTCTGGCCAAGTTTGAGCAAGATAGTGCTTCGTAAGCAGTGGGCAGAGCTCTTGCAGCTTCGCAAGGACCAAGAAGATGCAATCATTCCATTGATAAGAGCAAGAAAGAAGTTGAAGGAAGAGAAGTTGGGAAAATCAAATGTGGAGGGCAAGAAGGATGAGTATGTCTTGTCTTATGTTGATACGCTGCTGGATCTGCAACTTCCTGGTGAGAATAGAAAGCTTAATGAGATCGAAATGGTTTCTTTATGCATCGAGTTTCTTGCTGCAGGTGTAGATACTACTACCACAGCCTTGCAGTGGATCATGGCAAATTTGGTTAAGTATCCACAGATTCAGGAGAAGCTATTTTCGGAAATGAAAGAGGTCGTTGGAGAAGGAGAGGGAGAGGTGAAGGAAGATGATCTGCAAAAGATGCCGTATTTAAAAGCAGTAATTCTGGAAGGTCTACGGAGGCACCCACCTGGGCATTTTGTGGTGCCACATGCTGTGACTGAAGATACGGTGTTGGGTGGGTATCTGATTCCTAAAAACGGGACAGTAAATTTCATGGTGGCTGATATGGGGTGGGATCCAAAGGTGTGGGAGGATCCCATGGCTTTCAAGCCTGAAAGGTTTCTAAATGGTGAAGGGGAAGCATTTGATATAACAGGAAGCAGGGAGATCAAGATGATGCCTTTCGGAGTTGGGAGGAGAATTTGCCCTGGATATGGCTTAGCCATGCTTCATTTGGAGTATTTTGTGGCTAATCTAGTATGGAATTTTGAGTGGAAGGCTATGGATGGAGATGCTATTGATTTGTCTGAGAAGCAACAGCTTACTGTGGCCATGAAGAATCCATTGCACGCCCACATATCTCGCAGGTCGAGAAGCAAGGTGTAGGGTAGGGTGTGTGGTGTCATTTAATTTATTTTCTTTTTTATGATGATTTTAGTTAATTAATAACATTGGAATGGGTTGACTTTCTTGTGGGGAAAGGCTGTCATGTTGTGATAAGATATCGAGAGTGTTTGTTTACGCGATATAGCTTTAGGTTTTAAAGTAAATCATGTAAATAATATGTTTGATAATATTAAAGTTCAATTTACTTTTTATGCGGCATTATGTTGAAGTTGTTGGATTGTTGCTGAGAGTTGTTTTTTCCTCTACCGTCTCTATGCCAGATAAATTAATTTAGCTGAGTACCGTTGATTTTTTAAAGTTAACTGCGTAGAATAAATTTAATCACGTGAACAGTATCTTTATTGTTTATTGAACCGTGTTTGATTAGATAAAAAAAATTATTTTTTTAAATTATATTTTATTTAAAAATTATTATTTAATATTATTCAATAACATTATATAAATTAGAAATATATCACATAATGATGTAACATTTATAAAATTTGATCGTAATGTTAATTTTATTTTTTATTATATTTTACATGATTTTGTTGCACGTTCAAAAAATCATAAAAACTATAGTTCTTATAAGATGAATTTCATACGTGATAAAATTATAGATAAGTTAATGAAATAATAAAAAATATTTGATATAAAGTATTATTTATTTAATGATGTAATAGTGATAGTTAAATCTATAATATTTAAATTCAAAATCATCAATATATATATATATATATCTTTTTTAGTTATTTTATAATTTTAATTTGAAAAACATGTTTAACCAAATATATTAAAATATTTTTTATTTAACTTTAATTTTAACCATAATTTTAACCAAACATATATAAATACCAAACTAACTTCAACTAAAAGTATTTTTTATAAAATAATTTTTTTCAAACCACAACCACAAAAACTATATAAATGGCAGCAACTTGCAGATGTAACTATTTAAGAAAGTTTTTTTCTTAATTTTTTATATTAAATTATAGAGGTAGCATCTAAGTAAGATTTATCAAATTAATGATGCATTTTTAAGATCAATTAGGGAAAAAAAAAAGATTTTAATCTTATCTTCATGGTCAAAGCCAAAAATGGAAGTAGATGTTTTTGAATCAAGCAAAATCGGAAGATAACATTTATTTTTTGATGAGCTTTACATATTATTAACGAATTATAATGTGTTTGAGAATGCTATGTAAATCGTGTTTTTAAAAATTTTAATTTTTTTTGTTTAAAATGAAAATAAATTTATGTTTTCAGATTGTTTTGATGTACTGATATCAAAAATAATTTTTAAAAAATAAAAAAAATATTATTTTCATGCATTTCTAAGCGAAAAATACTTTAAACCGTCACCGCTATCACCATTTCAAACAGACCCTTAGAAGTGTTAAAGCATCAATACTATCATAAATAGTAACAAAACCATAAAACTCTTTTAGTTTAATTTCTTGTGAAACTTTATCACACCAAGTAAGCAAATCTCTTTTCTTTTTTTGTAATTCATTTATATTTTAGGTTAATTTATTAAAAAATTATAGTATTTGTAGTTTGCTTATATATTTAAGTATTTTATAGCTTTCTCCAAGAGAATTTTGTTGTATTAATGCATGATTTGTATGTTAGGGTTTGTTTGGGATTTGAGAATTTTGATTTTATTTGTCATTTGATGAAATTGAGTTTGATTTTGTAATTTAATATTTTATAATTGAAGAAATGATGAGTTATTTAATTAGTACCAATTATATTTTCTTAATTTTTTATCAAATTGAAAATCTGAGAAAATTTAGGGAAATTAATTGTTTGTGGAATTAATAATAATTAAAATATATTAATATAAATTGAATAAGTTTGAATTGAATAAATGATGGATAATTAATTAATTGGGTATCGATTATTTGTTTTTTAATTTTGTTGTTTAGTTCACATTTTAAGACAAAATTAAATTTGTGTACAAATGATAATTAATTATTGGATTGTGAATTTAATTTTAATAAAAAAATTTAATCTTGAATGGATAGTTGCATTATAAATAAATATTATCATCAATATTTTATATAGGTTTCATAAGTAATTAATTATCATTATTGGATATAGCGAGATTCTTCCAATGAGTTGTATAAGATTATCTTAAAGGGGTTAAGAGTTTTAGTAATTTTGTACTTTCTAATCTAAAGAATATTAGTGAAGGTGAAATTAGATGTTTAGGTGTGAAATGTGAGAAGAAAAAGTTTCATCATAAAGATGTTATATCTACTTAAGAAAGGGTTTGTCAAGAAATATTTATATTGAATTGCACATAAAAACCCTTATGTTCCTTATAAAATAATATCCTTATAAAATAATGTTAGAAAGGATGGTTTGTCAACAAATATTTATATTAGGTTGCATATAGAAACATACACGAGCTTGTGGATAATAATAATAATAATAATAATAATAATCCTTGTAGGAGTACGATGATGGATGTAATGTGAATGAATTAAAGTTATTTAGGTGAAGTTTCACATAACATCCTTTTAGATGAAAAATCAAATGCAAATGCAGCTATGTTTTTTTAACTTTTAAAAGATTTTGATGAACCATTGTGGAAAGGGTGTACAACTCACAATAAATTATCAGTCATTATACAACTATTTACTATCAAGTCAGATTATGGGTTGCGTGAAACAAATTATGATAGAATCCTTGAATGGGTGAAAATCATGTTACCTGAAGGGAATAGGCTAAAAGATAACTTTGATGCTGCAAAATCTATAATGAAACCTCTTAACCAAGAATATTAAAAAATTGGTGTGTCTAAACTTGTACATGTTGTACTACGATGAATATATAAATTTTATTAAGTCCAAAACCTGTCAGCATACTCGATATAAATCTAATTGTGATAAAAATATGGACACTTATCGCATATAAAAAATTGAGATACTTCACAATCACTCTTATGTTGGAAAAGTTATTTATGTCTCCAAAGACTGCTGAGTATATGACATGACACCATTCATATGACGAGGTGGATAGAGTCACATCCTTTTAATGGTTAAGCTTGAAAATAGTTTAATAGGATGCATCTATAATTTTCAATGAAATTATAAAATGTACATCTTGTCTTATGTGCAAATGAATTTAATCCATTGGGATCCTTTTCTATACTTTATTCTTTTTAGCTAGTCATATTAATAGTTCAAAACTTACCCCTAGAAATATGTATGAAGTTAGAATTTATATTTTTATCTATGGTCATATCTGGTCCTTACAATCCAAGTACGAATATAGATGTTTTTGTTAAATCATTGATTAATGAGTTAAATCAGTTATGGTTAATCGAGACTTTGATATATAATGTCTTAAAAAAATAAAGTTTTCAAATAAAGACGACTTTGATGTAAACTATAAATTATTTTTCTTTGTACAGGACTGTTTTAAGTTGAGTATATATGGAAAATTATCTTTTTCATATTTTATAGATAATAATAAGACATTTACCTTAATTAAGAGTGGTAAAGCTTCTTCTTTTTTTATTGCTACTAAAGGTTCTTACCAAGTCATGTCAATTCAGAAACATTATAAAAGACTTCTTGAAAGGTTAAAATGAAAATAATGTTGCACTTTAAATACTATCAGTTGAAGAAGCATACAATAAAATCTTATAATATAAGGGTATTTTATTTGGTTTTCATTATGGTAAGCAAAAGTTTTTAGTTTTGGTATGACTCACAATTAGGTAAAATAAAGTATTTTTTAGGAGTTTTATTTTTTAAAGACTAATATCATCCTCCATAATTTAAATATTATACATATCGAGATAAATGTATTTGAAAATATTTTTAACACGGTTATGAATGTGAAATGAAAAATAAAGGACAATATAAAAACTAGAATGGATCTAACTTTATTTTGTAATAGTAAAAATATAGATTTTGTTAATAATGTATTTTGTGTTGCAAAGTCTAAAACTGCCTTCATATTATAAAAAGGATGTATAACTTCTTGTTTATGAATGACTTAGAACTCTATAATTTTTATATGAATATGCTTCAAACATAGCTAGATTGGTAAATTTAGACGAATACAAATTTAATGAAATAAAGAGTCATGATTGTCATGTATTTATGCAAGCACTCATTCAAGAGTTATTTAATATATGAGTCTACAATATGGATATATCTATTCAAGAGGTTAAGAATTGCATGCATCTTTAGTAATTATCTGTTGACTTTTTAAAACAAATATTCGATTATTCATCTCTAATTACTTATATACAAATATTTGTTAATGAAATTTTTATCGACAATTCTATCAGCTTTGCTAACATGTCAAATTAATAACGGAATTTCCAATGCAATTGCCAACAAAAATCTTATTATTTTGTTATTTTTTCCAATTCCATCTCTATTTTAATTAGAAATTATTGACAGAAATGTTTCATTGCCATTTCCATTAGAAACTATTGATGGAATTTTTTTCATCAATAATTTCATTGTTTTTTTTTAATTTTTTGGTAGTGTATTAAAAAAAAATAGCAGTTAAAAAAGGAGGAATTATATTAGAAAATTATTATATTCTTATGAATTTAAATTAGTGCTCTTCTTGAAAAAACATATATCTTTGGACATATAATTAGGTTAAAGAATTTGGCAAGCTCTTTCCAACACAAGATCAAATATCTTTAAGTTATTTTAATTTTTTAACTTCCAAACATCATCTTTAATTAACATTAGCAACTTTTTTTTATATGTATTTAATTAACATTAGCAACTTTTTTTTATATGTATTGACATTTATAATCCTTAATAAAATTTATTAAGTGCAAACATTAATGTTTTAGTTCACCATTGAAATTTTTCTTGATACGCTAAAATGTATTAACAACACTTGTATATTTTTTTACATTATGAAAAAAACTTTTAATGTGACCCGTGACAAAGCGTAGTTCTATTGACTAGTATAAAATAAAAGAGCAATATATTTCACTATTTCTTTTATTATTTCTTAACACTTAGTTACAATATGGATTATTACAATAAAATTGAGTCTGACCCCTTATTTTTTTATCCTTGAACAAATATTCACTTTGATCACAAAATTTTTTTTTTTTAATTTCATCCTCCCACACTATTTTCACTTAATTTTAATAGTTTGCATGCTAAGTTGTCAAAAAATATCCCAACATTGAGTTTATGCTTGATTTTTCAAAATAAAATTTAATTTTTCCACTAAAAA